GAAATGGCCTCGTGGGTTGGTTTTTGGTTTTCACAATCCCTTCTTCACAGCTATTGGTTGTTGTTTCCTTGTGCTGTGGGTCTTAGCAAACCACAAAGCCATCTCTGCACATTCTTTGCAGGGATGCATGGAGGCCTTCCCAGAGCCTGGAGAGTCTGCGTGACCCCAGGGCCACAACCATCTGTGTTCTAAGAATATTACACCCGCTGCACTTTCTATTCACTTCCGTCATTGTCAAGGTTCCCATTTGGCCATGGCCTCTCAAGGTGTCAATGTGTCAAGAACATTTTCTTTGCTCTTCCTCATGTCCTGTCAGCCTGGCCTTTTCTTGGTGGAAGTGTCGAATACACATTGGTTAAAATGTTCTGTGTTTTATATGGAAAAACAAAAAACCCAGGATAGCTAAAAGAATCTTGTACAATAAAGGAACCTATGGAGGCATCATGATCCCTGACCTCAAGCTCTACTATAGAGCTATAGTAATAAAAACAGCTTGGTACTGGCATAAAAACCGACATGTGGACCAATGGAATCAAATTGAAGACCCTGACATTAATCCATACACCTATGAATGTATGATTTTCGACAAAGAAGCCAAAACTGTACCATGGAAAAAAGAAAGCATTTTCAACAAATGGTGCTGGCATAACTGGATGTCAACATGTAGAGGACTGCAAACAGATCCATATCTGTCACCATGCACAAAACTCAAGTCCAAGTGGATCAAAGACATCAACATGAATCCAGCTACACTGAACTTGATAGAAGAGAAAGTAGGAAGTAGTCTGGAATGCATTGGCACAGGAGACTACTCCCTAAATATAACACCAGTAGCCCAGACACTGAGAGAAACAATTAATAAATGGGATCTCCTGAAACTGAGAAGCTTTTGTAGAGCAAAGGACATGGTCAATAAGACAAAACGAAAGCCTATAGAATGGAAAAAGATCTTCACCAACCCCACGTCTGGCAGAGGGCTGATCTCCAAAATATATGAAGAACTCAAAAAGCTAGACTTCAAAATACTGAACAATCCAATTTAAAAAAGGGCTACAGAGCTTAACAGAGAATTCTCAACAGAAGAATCTCAAATGGCTGAAAGGCATTTAAGGAATTGCTCAGCATCCTTAGTCATCAGGGAAATGCAAATCAAAACAACTCTGAGATACCATCTATCACCTGTCAGAATGGCTAAGATCAAAAACACTGAAGAGAGGTTATTTTGGAGAGGATGTGGAGCAAGGAGAACACTCCTCCACTGTTGGTGGGAATGCCAATTTGTACAGCCACTCTGGAAATCAGTATGGCGGTTTCTCAGAAAATTGGGAATCAATCTTCCTCAAGACCCAGTTATACCACTCTTGGGCATATACCCAAGGAATGCCCAATCTTACCACAAGGACGCATGCTCAACTATGTTCATATCAGCATTATTCATAATAGCCAGAACCTGGAAACAACCTAGATGCCCCTCAACTGAAGAATGGATAAAGAAAATGTGGTACATATACACAATGGAGTACTACTCAGCAGTAAAAACAATGATATCAGGAAATTTGCAGGCAAATGGATGGAACTAGAAAATATCATCTTGAGTGAGGTAACCCAGACACAGAAGGACAAACATAGTATGTACTCACTCATAAGTGGATACTAAATGGGAGGGAAGGGATGGCCAGACTGCAACCCACAACTCCAGAGAGGCTAGCTAACAGGGAAAGACCCTAGGAGGGACACATGGATGACCCTGCAAAGGAGAAGTGGATGAGATCTAAATGAGTGGACTGGGTGTTGGGGGGGGTGGCAGAGGGCGAGGAGTGGGGGATGAGAACATAGGGAAATGGGAGGGTCAAGCTGGAACAGGGACAGAGTGGGAGGGCAGGGAGGAAGATACCATGACAGATGAGGACATCATGGGAATAGGAAGAGGCAGGGTGCTGGGGAGGATCTCAGGAATCCACAAGGATGACCCCACCTTGGTCTGCTGGCAGTGGTCCAGGGGGTGCCTGGACTGGTCTACTCTGGTGACCGGTCTAGCGAATAACCTAGCTGTCATCATAGAGCCTTTGTCCAGTGACTGATGGAGGCAGATGCAGAGATCCATGGCCAGGCACCAGGCTGAGCTCCGGGAATCCAATTGATGAGAGAGAGGAGGGATTCTGCAGGTGAGGGACATCAAGATCATGATGGAAGGATGTGCAGAGATGACCGGCCACACTAGTGGAAGCCCATGAACTGTGGACTGGTGGCTGTGGAGCCCCCATGGGACTGGACTAGGCCCTCTGGATATGGAAGACAGTTGTTTGGCTCGAACTGTTTGGGGGGCACCCAGGCAGGGGGATCAGGATCTGTCCCTGGTCTATGGGCAGGCTTCTGGGAGTCCAGTGCTTAAGGTGTGACGCCTTGCACAGCCTTGGTGCAGTGGGAAGGGGCTTGGACCTGCCTAGGCTCAGTGTGCTGGGCTTGGCTGACTCCCCATGGGAGACCTTGATTTGGGGGATGTGGGGATGCAGGGTGGCTTGGGAGAGAGGGTTGGGGAGTGGGAGGGGGGAGAAGGGGGGATCTGTGGAAGGTATGTGGAGTGGATAGAAAATTTCTTAATAAAGAAAAATGAAAAAATATGTTCTGTGTTATAAGCAGAAATCCAGCTCAGAAGAGTGTAGGACCCTGAATTCGGGAGCAATTTGATCCAGCATCCATGTGGGGTGAGCACTGACAGCCTCTGGGTGTCACACTCCCCCTGTGTCACTGGTGGCCACATGTGCTTCTCCCAGCAGCTCTTCAGAGGGACCCCCCCTGACACCAGCTCTGCCACCCCATGCCAAAGAAATGGAGCCATCCCCAGCAAGAGGCCCTAGGCTCACTTCAGCTCCTTCTCGCCCCTTCCGCCAGAGCCGTGCTCCTCAAGAATCATGGCGACAAATGGCTCAGTCAGGAAAGAGATTGGCCGCACGAAGTCCTGAGTTTGAATTCTCGGCACTTACATAAGAAGCTCAGTTGCTGTGGTGTGAGTCTAGCCCAGCACTAGGGAGGCAGAGACAGGCAGGTCTTTGTAGCAAGCCTTTGTAGTTAGCTGGTTTGATGACATCCTCATAAAATAAGGCCATGATCAGCGAGATGGCTCGGTGGGAAAGGCACTCATCTTCAAGCCTGATGACCTGAGATGAACACAACTCAATGGAAGGAAAGAACCGTCTCTTCAGACCTCCACGTATGTGCCATGGTGCACAAGATAAATAAATGTAATTAAAAATAAATAAGTAAGTAAATGAAGTGGAGAGTGATAGAAGACACCAACCACCAAACCTCTGGCTTCTACATGCATGGACATACACACAGGCACACACAGACACACACACGTGTGTACATACACATGTACACACACATATAAACATATGGATGCACACACATAGACACACACGAACATGTGTACACACACGTACACACACAAACATGTTTGCACACATGTACACACATGTGCACCCACACACATGTACACACATACCTGCCTATTTACTGCAGGTGGTAGTGGGCCGTGGGGGCTGATGTGGAAGTCTCTGTACTGATCTCGCTTCAAGGAACCTCAGGAGCAGAGGCTGACCCCCATGAAGCTTCCTGCAAGACCCTCCTTTTATCCACTCACCCAGCCTTCTGGAGATCAAATCTTGAGAAGGAAGCCTCCTATCACACCCCAGCCCCCCAGTCCCACCGTCAGTCCCCACAGCCATCCCATGCTTCTGCTGGCTTCCACACTGCCAGCCTGCCCTTGCGACCCCCCATTCCTGCTCCTCCCCCTAAGGATCTCTACCCCCTGCACCCTATATCTCATAGGTGGTGTCCACAAACAAAGGGATCATCCCACACATGGCGTGTGACCTGCTTCTTGCCTTGGGCCATTGCTGCCTTCTGGCCTCATCCTTGTGGCCTCTGCTCTCTGTTGTCTGTCCTGTGGTCACCAGGGACCTCTCAGGTCACTGCACCAGCCTCGCCTCTGTGTCTTGCTGCATGGGTGGTGGCATCCTTCTGTATCTTTAGCTTTGTAGGCACTATCTGGAAACTTCACTGGACTTAGAACAAGCTAGACGGTGTCAGGATTTGAAACCCCTGCTAACTGGATTGAACTCTTTCCTGTAAGACAACTCACCCAAGCTGTGTGTGCAACCACCCACAACAGAACCTGAACATCATACAGATGTCTCTGACTCCACACGCCACAGCCAGCCCCTGGGTCATCGCCAACTTCTTTATCCTTACAGTCTTGTATAAAATGAAGATGTGTATATACACACACCCACATGTCGGCCATGTCCCTAGCCGCCTCTGGTGACACAGAGTAGGTACAACAGGGCTCTGGTAGGACAAAGGATGTGTACCCTGGCAGACTCCTGCTGTCCCAGGAAGGAGACTCTGTAAGCCACATGGAAAGGCAGTGTGGAGATTTTGCTGTTCCCTGGCTGTGAACTTGGCCAGGAAGGTGGGTTCCTGACACCCCCCCTCTGCTCTGCTTCCAGACCACCAAACACTGTGAGATGGGCAGTTTCCCACCACAGGCTCCCCACCATAGTTTACAGTTTTGCCACAGACACAAAAGCAATGGAGCCAGTGAGTCCGTCACAAACTGAAACGTCTGAAACCGTAAACCAAAGCAGGTATTTTGTCTTTCAAGTCGTTTCCCATTTTTGTTTTGGTTTGTTTGTTTGTTTGTCTGTCACAGTGACTGAAATCAACACACTTTGGTTCCTAGGCCCAGGTCTGCACACTGGCATTAACGCACATTAACCTTGCTGGCTTCTAGACATGTCTACAACTAGTAATGTGTGGAGAATCAAATGTATGCCTCTCGCCCTTTCTCGTCCCCTTTAGAGCAACAAGATATTTCATTTCTGTAACCCACTCAGCTTCCAGGCATAGAGATGAGAACAGAGGGGCAGCGGAGGGCTGTGCGGGTCTCTTTATTGTTCCCGGGTGTGGAGCATTATACACAGCGCGTGGCGGTCACTTAGCTGGTAAAATATCTCAATAAATAAACAAATAAGCAACATATACACTGAACAGGGAATATAAAAAATGGCTCGCTGAGCAGGCCATGGAGAAATAAAGAGCAGGAGTGTGCGGGCAAGAATTCCAGGCTTCCTTGAAACAGTCACGGGAGGTCTGGGGCGGGAGGGGTCTTGGGTTCTTGTTCTGAGAGCCTTGGTCCAGTTTAAACAGGTTCTACAAGAATGCATTTCTGTTTTATTTAAAAATATACATTAAAAAAGGCACTTAGAGGGAAATACAATCCAATATATCCTTACAGATGCACTTCTGAATCTAGAACTTTCCAGAAAGATTCCCCCAAACCAAAACCCAGGAGAATGATCCAATGATAAGGAGATGAGGCCACAGAAGTCACTGGCAGGACAGCTGGTGCCCATCCCATGGGGCATCTCTGAGAAGGATGTGAACCCGGGTCTGCTGTCCCCTCTGAACTCTCAGCTGGAGTGCTGGGGCGCTGGGGGTATGCCGGGCCACAAGGTTTTCCAGATGTCAAAAGTCAGAGCCGCAGATGCATCCAGTTCCACTTACGCCGAGGCGTGCAGGTGGGTCTGAAAAAGAAGGAGATTGGGTGAGATGTGGCAGCACTCAGCATTTGGGGAAATGTGGCCTTTCTCCGGGGGACCCTGAGGCTTCAGGGACGGAGAGCTGGATCTGTGTCATTTGTACCAATTTCCGACTTCTCCCCCACCAGAAGCTGAGTGGGTGCAGAGGCCCTGGGAAGGCTGCTCTCTGCTCGTCGGGACGTCAGTGGCGGCGCCCCAGAGCCTCGGGGCAACGATGCAGGAAGACAGCTGGGGGCAGCTGTCAAAGGCAGACAGAATTCTCTTTGCAAATTCTTGGGAACCCATATTTATGCTTTGGAAATAACGATAGGGTCCCAAGATGTTGCGTTAACGTGTAAAAAAAATCGTATCAGCATTTCAACCCTTTCCCCTAAAGTATAAACAGACCCCTACCATAGCTTCAACATCTGCATAGGCCCAGAACTCATTTACATGCCTTTGTGCATGGTGTGGGACATACATGTGTGTACAGGATGTGTGGAGAAAATTGTGTGTGTGTGTATACTGTATGTGTGGTGTGCGATATGTGTATAGTGTGTGGTGTGTGATGTGTGTATATAGTGTATGTGTGGCATGTGTGTGACATGTGATGTGTGTGTATAGTGTATGTGTGGTGTGTGATATGTGTATAGTGTATGTGGTGTGTGATGTGTATGTGTATGTGTGGTGTGTGTATAGTGTGTGTGGTATGTGATATGTGTGGGTGTGTGTGGTATGTGATGTGTGTATATAGTATATGTGTGGTATGTATATGGCATCTGATTTGTGTGTATAGTGTATGTGTGGTGTGTGATATGTGTGTGTATACTGTATGTGTGGTGTGTGATATGTGTTTAGTGTGTGTGGCATGTGCAGTGTATGTATGTGTGATGTGTGTATAGTGTATGTGTGGTGTGTGTATAGTGCATGTGGTATGTGATGTGTGTGTATAGTGTAGTGTTGTGTGTAGTGTGTGTATATAGTGTGTGGTATGTGATGTATGTATCTAGTGTGTGTGATGTGGGATATGTGTGTATGGTGTGTGTGTGTGTGGCATGTGACGTGTGTGTATAGTGTATGTGTGGTGTGTGATATGTGTGTGTATAAGTATGTGTGATGTTGCTTAGTATGTGTAGAGTGGGCACGTGTGACATGTGTACAGTGAGGTGTGTAGTGTATACTGTGTTGGTTTCTCACTCCCTCAGCCGTCACTGAGCTATACTTTTCCACGACCACGAGGTCATACAACTGAGTTTAAGTCATGTGAGCCAGTGAGGATGGAGCCAATGAGACCCGACGCTAGAGCAGCTTTTGAACTCGACTCTGGTGTGGGAGCCTCCTGGGTGTCACCTAGCACAGCCTCTGCTGGTGCCACTTCCGGTAGCATTCAGATATGGACAGCATGTCAAATGTCATGTTCATAGAGAGAGGCTGTATTCCCATGCCACACGCCCATGACCTGTGAGGCAATACACTTACACATACATACATACATACATACATACAAACATACATACACACACACATATGGACATACATGTGCACACATATATGCACACACATGCACACCTGAAACACACTGGGTGCTCTGTGCAGAAACAGCCTATCCTCCCTTAGGGAAGGCTGACCTGGAGCCAAACACCTGGGAGGGAGGGAGCATAGACAGACGACAGGACAGAGCGGCCGTTCTCTGGGGAATGGCACCTGTGCTGAGGATGGAAAGTCCTTGAGGACTCTGGCGGTTTCGACAACAGGTCTCTGCCACTCGCGTGTGCCCACCTGGAGCTCACTGATGTGAGGGGAGACGGTTAGACGCTGGTCAGAATGAGGGGGTGGCCATTTATCCAGGGTCACGTTGGTGCCACGTGGTCCACAGTGTGAGGAGGAAACACTAGTCCATGCAGAAAGTATCATCCAGGTGGGGGATGAAGCCACGAAGGTGAGGACAGCCACGTCTGAGCCGTCCTCCAGGGCAGCCGCCACACTGCCACGCCTGCGTCTCAGACATCCAGCCATACTCTGCCCAAGGCCTGAACTCTGTGAGGGGCTTTTCAAAGCTCCCAAATGCTTTCCCCTTCTGGAACCATGACAACAATCTAGAAAGTCTTAAATTTTCCCTAAAATTGGGCACACACACACACACAAACACACACAGACACAGACACACACAGACACACACACACACACACACACACACACACACACACACACACACACGCACGTATGCTTGCTTGCTCCCTCTTCCTCCCTTCCACCTCCTTTTTTTCAAGTTCAGAGTACTCCAAATATTTAAGCCTTTTTAAGTGGTCCCGGGCAGAGAGTCAAAGGCTGCTCTATTGGAGAATGTGGTTATAATTAGATAATTAATGGGGGATGGGGGAGGGAGCTAAATGGAAGCCTTCCTCAGTGGGAGGAAATAATTAAACAGCTTTTGATATCTGAGCCGAGCCGGCCCGCCAGGGGAAGCACAGGATAGTCCACAGAAAGCACAGAGTGGCAGGGGCTGTCCCAACAGGGCAGGTTTTGGGGTTGGCTTCATCTGCCGCAGGGGCCCGGGTCTCAGGCCGAGGCAAGCGGCAGGTCCATCAGTCTTCTTGACTAAGAGCCTCCCCGCCTAACCCCCTGATGTCACCTTGACCCCACACATCTGTAGACACGGGCAAATGTAAAACATCTGGGCTCAAGACGGCCTTGCCACTGAAGGGCTACCCGGCCCCGTGCATGGGCCTCCTGTGGCTCACTCCGGCTCTGCGTGGCCCGAGCCGGCTGCCGAGTTGCCACAGCTGGACTGAGACCTCAGTGGGCCCCGAACCAGATCACCCGGTACCTCGTGCTGGCCGAAGGAAGGCACGCCACGCTGGCTCTGAGTGTCTGTCTGTCCATGTCTGCCCTTCCATCCTCCCTCTCTCCCCCGCTCTTTCTTCCTTCCACACGCACACCCATCACCTCCCAGCGTGTACTGAGTGTCTGGCATGTGCAAGGAATGGCGCTGGTCGCTGAAAAGGCTGAGATGAATCAGAGAGTCTGGCAGCGGAAGAAACACGTATATAAACTAGACACTGAAAACTGTCTCAAGGAAAGCACAGGCCAGATGCTGCTGCAATGGAGACTTAGCTGAACTGTCAGAAAGAGCACACTGTGTGCATGTGCACATCACATGCACACACACACATGCATGCATGCATACACATATGCACACACATGCACATACACACATGTATACACACATGCATAAGCATACACATACATACACATGCATGCATACACATGCATGTGTACACACATGTATACTCACATGCACACACATGCATAAGCACACATATACACATATGCACACATACATATGTACATACACAGGAATAAACACACACATGCATGCATACACACACATATGCACACAACACATCTCTGGGTTTCTCATGTGGTGCCCCAAGAGGTGGAAGAGGAAGTGACCACAACCATGGGTGTGGCCATCATCTACAGCACAAGGAAATCCAGGGTTAAGGTGTTAACTGACCCCTTTGCCCCTAGAATGAGAACTTCTGGCTCCACTGGACCTCGAGGCCTTCCAGTTTACTCAGATGGCTCAGCCCCTGCCAGTCTGCTCCTGCGGCCCTGCTTCCATCTCCCACATAACACCCTGCTGTCCCTAAAGCCGCGACCCTCTCAACTCCTGATTCCGGTTCTGCAGAGGTTGGAGAAGTGGCCGGCTGGGTAGAAGCTAGGGTGCCATCAGCTCACACGGGTCCCATTGTTCATCCCACTTGGGGACCGTTTGGGCATCTAGAGAGCCCTGTCTTCCAGCTGGGGCCCTTCCCATCCTGGATGCGTCTGGACACAACTTCCGAGCTGCCCACACCAACCACCAATGGGTGGCTGGAGACAGAAAGCAAACAACATCATCGGTCTAAGCAAGAAACTACCGGAGACGACACATCATGCGCATGGGTGCTTCCGTGAGGAGCACCTGCTAAGTGGCCCCAGGGAGGGAGGTGGTCTGCTCTGAAAGAGAAAGAGCAGGTTGGAAACTATCAAAAAAGACTCTTGGAAGCCCCACAAAGCTTAGGGGTGAAGTGATTTTAATCAAGGAGGTCATGAATAGGAAAGTAGACATTGAGGAGGAAGTCCTGAGGTCAGACACTGCTGGGAAGCCTCCCTGCCCTGGAGACGGGTGTCAGCCATTGAGAAGAGAGATCAGGAATATCCTCTCAGCCAACAAATAACAAAGCCTTCAGATTAAAGGGGGACTTGGGTCTGGAAGGAAAACTGAACCAGGCCACAGAGAAACTTCTGGATTCCAAGACTAAGAAGAAACCTGTGGGAATTCGGACACAAAAAGGAACCAGGCCAGTAAGACTCATAGTGGCTTTCCAACTGTGTCCCCTAGCTGACAACGATTCTAGAAGTTCAGTCTGGACGGGAAAAGGAAGGCACCAGGGAGGCTGGAAGTCTCAGCTATGGGATCGACGGGAACCTGCTTGGTGTCCAGCTTCTGCCACCACAAGTGTGACAAGAGACAGTACGTGTACCCCCACTGCTAAATGGAAGGCGGGGAAGACAGGGGAGCTGTAGAGTCGTTGTGGGCTGAGCTGGAGACTGACAGGCTCTGGAGCCGCCTCTTGGGTTGGGATACCTGTGGGTGCTGGCAACACTGATTGCGTCTTTGAGAGGTTGCAGCAGGAAATGCCGTGAGCAGGTGCTCGGGGTGGGTGGTCCATCTGTGAGCTGCCCCATCCCCATTATAGCATTGCCGGGCTGCCCTGAAATTTGCAAGCTTCCTGCATGCCAAGTCCTGGGATTACAAGTGTGAGCCACCACTCCCAGAAGGCCGGTCTCTTAATTGTTGCAATACTCTATCTACCAAACTGAAAAACTCAGGAAAGCAGAGTGGACCCAGGACTAACTGCCAGCTAAATGACCACTTACCAAAAGTCTGATGGACCCATGTGAACAGCTAACCCTGGTTCACAGTGGATTAACAGACGCCAAAGGACAGTAGCTGCTAC